CTCAGGTTGCAAAAGAAATGCAGCTGGGCTTTGATTTGGGGAACTCTGTGGCTTGCTCAGGGGTGTGAAATGAATGTCACTACCTCAGTGGTGAAAGGAATCTGTTGCTGAAAGCCACGGCCCCTGGCCCAGGAGTCCTGTGCAGCCATGGCAAACTGAGCATCCAGGCTAAGGCATCTCGTCTTGAATCTTTTCTGGTCAAGTGGCTGGGTATCTGTTCAGGTCAAAAGGCCTTCGTGGAAATCCTGTTTTTTTTGTGTCCTCTCTACCTGTTATAAACCTCTGTTTTGGGAGTTCCTGGCCATATTAATCAAATTCGGCATTTCTTAAAATTCTGTTATAAAAACTCACTTTTTGACTCGCATTGCAACAAAATTAGTAGCACATCTCCAGAAATACACCCTGAACCCTGGCTGACTCTTCTTACTGTCTTGTTAGTTCCTTTACTGGGCAAGCGTTACACCAGTATGTGATAATTTTCTTTTGTTCTATGATCTTTTTAGGAAGCACAAACTTCTCTGAGCTGCTTTTGAAGTTCAAGCAGTTGAACATGCCGGTTCGTGCGTTACTAAGGCTCGCTCCTCTGTTGCTTAGAAATCCGCAGTCCATGGTGCTGTAATTACACTGGCCTGGAAGTCTGCAGCATTCATTTTACACGAGCTTACTGAATGACAGCCAGTGTGTTGTTCCATGCTATTCAAAAACATACAGGTAAAATGTACTTAATTTTGTAACTTCATAAACAACTCGAACTTCAAACTTGTCCCCAGCTGTGGTGACTGTGACGGGGAGTTATTTATAAATTGCTACACGAGTAAAAAGAATTGTGTAAAAGTGAACTAATAATAAATTTACTTTTGTAACTAACGATTACGTTCAGATGTGTCTTTTGTGGTGAATCATGAAAAGACCTTGGCTGAGAACCATATAATTTCCTTATTTTTTTCATAGTTTCTTTGTTTGTGATGTATCTTAATCCACTTCCATGAGGTACAGTAGATTTTAGAAGACAGGCAGCCCAGAAGACGCCAAACTTACTTTTCCTCTTGGGTCTCAGGCTGGTAAGGAAAGGAAGCCACCTGCCACACCGCTCACATCTTGCCAAGTATGCTTTTCAAGAAATGGCATGATCTTTCACTCTTTCTTTTTATTTTTTTGTCTCATAAATGCTACTGTACATCTCTTTCGTAAGCACTCCATGAGTCTAAATTGTTTTGCTCCCACTCTTTAAGTGATATACTCAATATTGCACTGTTTACATCTTTTCTTTTTCTTTTCTAATCTTTGTTCTGTAATTAGTCAGTTGCTGCTGAGAAAACACCTGCCTCCACTATGTTACGTTATGTCTGGGCAAGAACTGAAACTTGTTACAGACAATTTAAATAATTGGGCATTCGTTTGTGTTTCCTTCATCTCTGCTATGATGCCTTATGTATTTCCCCAGAGCACTGAACTTGGAGCACAGCTGGGTCTATATTTGTTCTGGGCAGACAAGTCACTTAATTTTTCATAAAACAGGTGGAGTTACTCCAATAAAAGCAGCCAGAGGTTGAATGATTACTACTAGAAAAGCAGCCAGAGCCAAGCTGTTGGACTTGCTTATTCTGAAATTTCAAATTTGATCTTTTTCTCTGGGACTTGTGCTCATCTCCATCCCCTTTTGTTCCAAACCCTCGAGCAGGAGAGCCAGAGGGCCTTAGGGAGGGGAGAAATGGATGAAGACAACTAGGAGTGATCATGAAGAAAGCATGAAATAGAAAAAAATCTACAACCTTTCTCAATGTTATTAAAAACAACATTTGACTATTAAACAAGGCTTTCAATGGCTTTAAGATGGCCTGAAGCAAGGACCTGCATACCAGCCAGGTCGAGCTGATGCCAAATCCCAACCCCTCCCCTTCTTAAAGTTGTTCAGAAGTTGATCTGATTTCCTTGGGCACCCACTGTAGGAAAGTCGGAGTTGCGGTCCAAGGGAGGTTAACCACCATGATGGACAAAGCACAAAACTCAAACGCAGCTGCCCTGGAGCCCCCTTCCCTAACCTATCTGTGGGCTGCACAGCTCCTCGTGCTGGCAGGAGGAAGCAAGCGGCTGGATATTCTCCACTGCACCGAGTGGCCCAGGGCTGCCTGATTCCCCTGGTCCCTGTTGCTGGCACCGGCCCCCTAGCTCCAGAGGTCAGAGCAGGGTTGCAGAAGAGGATGAGCCTGACACAGCGCATTCACGGGTGGAGCAGCAAGGGCAAGAGGAAACCAGATGTGTCCTGAGGGAAGTTCCTGCCCGGAGTGCGCGGGGAGGTGGCGCGGTCCTGGGGGCAAGGAGGTGCGGCTGAGATGTGGGAGAGGAGAGGGGAGAACCTTGCAGCACCTTGCTGACAGCTGGAAACCAGAGGCAGCAGGCTTTAGTTTGCTGAAAAAGAAAAACAAAACCCACCTACTCTAAAGGCACCTCCTTTGTTGTGTGAGTGACATAAACCATTAAGAAAGAAGTGTGGAAAGCCCCGCTTCTCTCGCTTGACATCAAGCCACGCCGTCCTGCCTGCTGGAGCCCTGTGTTGGTGGCTGCCACCCTGGGGTGCAGAAAGAGCCCGTGCCCCCGGGGCCCGAGGTGCCTCGGATGTCCTCAGGGTGCTTTTTGAAGCCGTCAGCCAGAGCACATTGCTCGAGCTCACTCGCTGTGGGAGATGGAGCTCTGGGACCTTCTTGGTTTTGGTTCTGCCCCTCGTGCTCCTGCAGAGGGTCTGCCCACAGGAGGCTTACGCAGGGCATCAACACCTGATGCTTGCCCCGTGGCGAGGTGCAGAGCTGTGACTGGCAGTGAGGGAAGCTGTGGCAGATCCCTTCCTGCTGCCTGTAACACCTACCTGGGGGTGCACAGGCCCCTGGTTGCAGCTTGGGGAAGTTTTTTCTTCCTCCTAAATTGCAGAAATGTGACGCATCAAACGCTCACTTCCCAAAGCAAATAAACCCGTGCTTTCCCCAGCTCCCCGCCCGCGGCTTTATGAGGACAAACATTGTGTTAGCCTCCCGAAGCCCACGCCACAAATAAACAAAAGAATCGCACGGGATTAGCTGCTGCTTCCTTCGCCCTCTGCATGCTGGGGGTGGAAAGAGCATACAGCAAAAACGCTGGACTTCAAGAAACAAACCCCAAGGGGTGGCGTGCTGGTGCCCATCTCTCCGCTGTGTGATGGGTGAGGTTTTGGGCACGGCGCCCGCAGCCCGTGTTCCCCTCTTGGTCGCGGTGGCACCAGAGACCAGTGCGGGCAGATGCCGCTCCAGCTGGCCAGGCACCGAAACCAAAAAGCAAAGGTGGTTTGGAGCCAGGCTGCGTGGGGAGAGGTGAGGATGCTCGCGGGTCCCCCTGTGCCAGCAGCCCGGCCCGGGGGCTGCCTGCAGCCGCTGAGCCTCGGGAAGGAAGGCGAGCGCGTGGGTGTGCGTGTGTGTGCGAGCCTCTCTCGAGCTGCATGAAGCCGAGAGGCTTCCTGTTTCCTTTTTAAGGTTTTAACAGAATTTGAAAGCAGCCACCGCCGCGACCTGGACCAATGATCTGGGCAGAGCGGCGGGGGAGTTTCGGCTCGGCGTCTCTGGCGCCCGTTACGAATGCCAACCTCGCTCCCGGCCCACGTGGAGCCTGCGCTCGCTCCCGGTGCCTGCTCCGCTGCCCGGCCAGGGTAAGGTGCTGCTTGCTGTGGGGACAGATCTTTGCGAGCCGTGTACAACGCTGAGCGTGGTTCCTTTCTCTGCCGGTCATCTCAATTGCAATTTCGTGCACGTTACCTGCTGCAATTTAAATCGCAAAAGTACATATACGGGGTTTTTTTGCAACGCCCGTGATCCTTGCGCTGCTGTTTGCTGCTTGGGCTGGGCTCTGCCCTCGGCTCAGGGTGCATTACGTGAATTTTGTGTTTAAATTGCAAGCAGCCTGCTTGTGGGTGCCGTGGAGATGCAGGTGGGGGAGCGGGGTTCGGAGGGGGATGGCAGGGAGCTGGGTTCGGAGGAGCTGGGGGTCCCTCCCTGTACAGCTGGGGCTACACGGGGTGTCCGGGGCTCTTCCCCTGTCCCCTTCCCGCATCTGGCACAGTTGGGGACCGCAGCCGGGCTGCCTCGAGCTGCGGGCTGACACCCACAGGGCTTGGTCACCATTCTGGGGGGTTTCACACAGCATTCACCACCTCTTTGCATACTTCCCCCTGGGCTTTGGGTGAGGAGCGGGGGACAGCACTCAGGGCCTCTCCCTTTTCTTCCTTTTCTTCCTTTCCTCGTGTTTGAATTCCCGGCACTGAGGGAGAGGTGAGCACACGGTGACCCCAACCCCAGCGGGCCCCTCAGCGTCACCCAGCGCCCATCGCGTGGCGGCCCCCGCACCCTCCCGGCCCCAAAACCACAGCTTTTCCCTTGGCTTTCCCAAATCTCCTGCAGCCTCCCATCGCCCTGTGGGGACCACTGGCTCCCCACTGCCGTGTGGCCGCTGAAGTGCGGCGCCTTTTCAAACCCCGGCCGGCCCAATCGGCGCTTTCTTCCCCCCAAAGTTCCCTTTTTCGTGTGGCGCGCCCGCTGCCCCGCCGGTTTTTTGGCAACAGTGACCTCTGTCGGCACCACCACCCAGCCCCGCTGCCACCATGCAGTCACCCACGTCTCCACCCTGGCCCCCGGCCTCGCTCCCTCGTGGTGTCCGAAGCAGAAATGGAGAGAATCGCTCAAATAGTGGAGAAAATGGTAGCGGGGAGCGATCCCGGCTTGTGTCGGGTGAGCGAGCGTCGCCGCGCGCCCAAATCGGCCCCGGCGCGTAATCGCCTCTTGCAGCCAGGGCAGGGATTTCGGTAAACATGCATGCTGGGGAGCAGCTGCCAGCGATGATCAGAACCGGAGAAAAGTTACCGAAAGGTCTCCCGAGGACAGCCCAAAAACTGAAAACCTGGCGGGGATTTAATTTGTGAGCAGCGCGGCTCAGCCTCCGTGACTCATGTAAATAGCGATGCTACAACCACTGACTAATCCTGATAGCACTTTCTGTGAATGTTTAATCTCCATTCAAGTTTCAGACGAGCATTTTTTACAATTAAAAAAAAAAATACGTATACAGGTGATTTTACGGGAAAGAGGTGAGGGAAAGGTTTGGGCTCTGCAGGGCACCAGCTTGGGGCCGGTTTTGGCCGTGCTCAGCCCATGGGAGCAGCCCCCCTGCCTCCCTGCACTCTGCTCTCACCTCTGCGAGGTGGCAGCGGCCGTCCCCAGCCCTGCACACCCAGGCACGGGCTTTGGGCAGCCTGGAAGGTGCTAAAACAGGAGGGAGAGCGCGAATATCGCCGTCTGAACCGGCACACGCGCAGCGCGGCATGGCAAGGTGCTGGGGGTGCGGCCACGTAGCCAGCATCAGCCCCACTCGTGCTCCCTCCAGCTGTTAAATCCTGCACGCACACTCCTGCAGTGGGGCTGGCCGGGGCACGTTGTGCTGTGCCGTGCTGTCCCGTGCCATCCCGTGCCATCCCGTGCCATCCCGTGCCATGCCAGAGCTCCAGGCACCGCTCAGCAGTCAGGGACCGTCCGCAGGTGGCGGCGAGTTTTGGAGGAATGTCACGGTGCAGCGGGCCGGGGGAGTGACTCAGAGGTGCTTTAGGTCTCTGTGGTTTTTCTTTCATGGTTTTGCTGTGACTTAGCGACTTGTTTTTCGCTCCGCGGGAAGGCAGGTGCTGGCATGCTGGGCGGGCGCTCACCGGACCCAGGCTTCAGAGGGCTGGGAAGGGGTTTGGACACAAGACTCTCACCAGCATGTTGTCCATCCCACGGGATCCTGTCCGGCTGCAGGTTTCTGAACAAGGAGGGGTTGATCCACTTGGTGCTGCAGTCTCTACTCGGACAGACAAACACCCCAGCGGTGCCAAAAACCCCGACCCAAGGTGGCGATGCCACTTGCTGGGATGCTCCTGCAGCCCTTCCACCCAGCAGGGGCTGCCAGGGAAACGGGGCTGGGGGGTCCCTGCTGCCAGAAACACCCACCAGCTTTACTTTTTCTTTGTTTGTTTTCTTCCCCAGATCTTCTTCCCTGGGTTTTGTTTTTATTTTTTTTTTTTTTTCTTCTGCCGAGCCTGCACACAGCAGGGCGTTCTCCCACCTCCCGCTGCACCCGGGGCACGCCGCCAGCGCTCCCCGGCTGCAAACTTTCCACCAGGTTCTTTTTTGCCTTTTCTTTTCTCTTTGGAAGGAAAATTGGATTTTTGACAGCGACAAAAAAAAAAAAAAAATATTTACCAAAAAAAAAAACCAACTGCCTAATTTTTGCAGCAAATGGTCTTTTCAGAAAGCTCACCGCGAAGCATGCGCCTGCACGCTGGAGGGGCTTGGGGGTTTCTGACTAATGGCTGTTGAAGCTCTGCCAAAAAACATCTTTTTCCACAGAGCTGATGATGACAACAAGGACTTTTTCTGGTTTTGTTGCAATATTTAGGGGGAAGGAGGCAGGAGAGCAGGACGAGCGTTCTCCAGCCTGCGATGCATCCACACGTGCCACCCCCTCCTGCTCCCCGGGCCTGTCAGCGTTGCCATTTCACCCCTAAAACTGAAATTTCACCTTTTTGTGATGACCCAAAGTCAAAATGGCCCAAAATTATGATGTGGAGGGAGGCAGGTGGGGGGGGGGGAGGCTCTGCCCCACCTGGGCTGGAATGCAGGATGCAGGAGCAATGCTCGCAGGGTGCCTTCTGCCCCCAGGTCGGACGCTTCCCACCTGCTGGCTGCGCTGACATCCCAGCCCTGCTTCTCGGGGCGAGGTCCGGGTGTTGCAGAGCACGGCACGAGCAGGGCAGTGGGGGCAGAAGGCACCGTGCTCGGATGCCTCCTGCCTCAGCAGGTCCCGGGTTCACTTTGGGGCTCTCCATCCCTTGAGCTGCAGCCAAGCTGGCCACGAAACGGCACGGCGCTTCCAGCGCAAGGCTCCCCCGGCCGCATCTTGAAACCATTAGGAGGGAGGGATCTGGTTCCGCTCCCTCTCCCTTTCCTCCCTCTCTCTGTGATGCAGCGGGCGCTGAGCACGGAGCCGCTTGGGCAGCAAGTGCACGTTCCCACAGCCCCTCACAGCTGGCGAAAACCAACCCCCCCCCGCAGCAAGAGCGGCTCCTTGGGCTGATATCTGAGAGCAAACGCAAGCGTGGCCAAAAACATCAAGCCCTACCCAATCAACCCTGTTCTCCGCACATCGCCACCGAGGCCGGGAGCATCTCGGCTGCAGCTCCGCTCAGGCCAGCCCCCGGTTTGGAAGCAGGGTGGCTCTGAGCAGGGCTGGGGTTCGCTGATTCAGACAGCCCCTGCTCTGCAACCCCTCCGCCACCGCGTGACTAATTCCTGGACTCGCTCTGAATCAGAGAGTAAAAACATGCCGGTAAGGCATTTTCGGGTCGGTTTATTTTCTTGAAACAAATAAGACCCGTACCCCTCGCCGTGCCCAAATTATGCAAAACAGGCATCGGCGGCAAGAAATGGGGCAGGCACGTGGGGGACACGTAACGGCAGCTAGGGGCGGCCCGCTTTTGGGGAGAAGCCCCCGGGAGCGGGGTGCACGAGGGCAGCGGAGCTGTGCTGCAGCCACCACGTGCCCGTGGCTGTGCTGGGTTTCCCTGCCCCATGGCTCCCGCGCCGTGCTGGAGGTAGCACGTGTTTGGGATGTGTTTTTGGTTTTTTTTTCTTTCTTTCTTTCTTTTCCCTTCTCTTGCTTTCTAAAGAACTTCATTTATCCCCACAAAGCCTGATGTCAGCAACTTTTACTCCCCTCCGCGCCTGACATTTAATAGGTCTTGTTTTGAATGGCAGCAAATCCGGCTTAGTAGTTAAATAAGGCAGGAGAGGAAGAGAGGGAACGGCATCGCCAAGAGCAGTCAGATCAGCCAAACCGCAGCGAGCGCGGGGCTGCTCCTCCCGCCCCTGCTGGGAGCTGCCTGCGAGCGGGAGCCTCACTGCGGGGCCGCCAGCACTGCTGCCCTGGGGACTCTCCTCTGGCCCTGCCGTTTGCTCGCCCTGCTTCCACCCAGGGGTTTTGCTGCAAACCCTCGGAAACGAGACCTTTCCCAGGGCTTATCCGAGCCCCGCGTGGCCTCTGCCTTCACCCCGCGTGGGAGCTTTCCCACTAGATTTGAAAACCAGAAGGCGTTCACCCTATTCCCATCCCCATTTCTGCCTTTCGGTCCCAGAAGGGCAGTCCCAGCCTGCATTTTCCATAGCAAAGGCCCTTTCTGATGAGAAAAAGCCCCAGCGTTTCCCAATGGGTGTAGCTGGCTGCCGGGGCGATGACCAGGGGCCGTGGGAAAGCCTCCCCGTCCCTCTCCTCCCTATAAACCCCGCACGCTCCCAGACCCATCCGCGGCCAGGAGCTGCAGCGAGGGAGCCCAGCAGGACGCGGTGCGGGAGCTTCGGAAAGGTGCGAGAGATCTGTGCGGGGCCGGGCACGGGGTGGGCACTGCACCGAAATTACCCCCCAGGGACACTGGTGCCCAGGTGCCGTGAGCGGGGGCTTCTCCGCTGGCTCCGGAGCGCTGCCGGAGCACTCGGGAGGATGCCAAGGCTCAGCTCTGCTCTGCATCCCCCTTATTTCCTCATGGGGCTCGGTGCCTCTCCTTGATATTTAAGCATCAACGCTGTTTGGGCAGAAATTGGGCAGGTTTTGACTGCGAGGAGAAGCTGAGAGCTCCAGCCCTTGTCACCCATCCCCGCTGCAGCACCGCCGCCCTGCGCGCCGCATCCCGCAGCCAAAGGGCAAGCCGGCTGGGGCAGCTTTCATTTCCACCCAGCTGAAATCCGCTTGATGAAGGCAAAAGCAGTGCTCACGAGCAGGGGGGGAAGGCAGACACCCAGGCTAACGAAGATCCTTTCCCTCTGCAGGTGGCTGCTGGAACAGAAGGCACCTGGGAGGCTTTCCAAGGAGCGCGGCAGGGATGCCGGGGGGGATCCGGAGGTGCAGCGGGTGAGTCGGTGCCGGCAGCCCCGGCACGGGCACTGTGGGGTTTCTGCCCCTGGTTCCGTATCTGGGGCAGGGAGGGAAGGCAGCAGCGTCATGCGGGGCCGGCCCGTGCAGGGCAGGGCGCAGGGACTCGAGATGGGAAATGAAGCCCAGCTCCTTACCTCCCGCGGTGGCACCGGAGGGGCCAGGCAGCGTGGCAGCAGCTCGCCTCTTCTGCGGGAAAGACGAGTATTTTTGAGCCTGTGCACTTACAGTAAATGAAACTGGGTCTGTAATATCAGGGCCACGTGATGAGCACTTTTGGTAACTTGGCTCCTGCTCGAGCAAGAGGAGAGGAAAACCCCAGGGAGCGGCGGGGCGGAGGCAGGAGGTGCTGCGCCTCTCCAGGCAGGCACAGATGAGTCAGCAAGCTCGGCTCCACAGGGCACCCGTGGTCACGCTTGTGGTCCTGGCCATGGCCGTGGTCATCCCTCGGTGCTGGCCCCACCGTGATGCTCTCCCTTCTGCTTCCTCTGAGAGCTGTGCTGCTGCTGCTCTGGGCGCTGTGCAGATTTTGGGGCTGAAAGTGCTGTTTTGCGATGAGCTCGGCTTCTTCCTACTGCCCCTATCCCCCCGTGTCCCTGCAGCTGAGCCAGCCCCGTGTCCAGCCACAGAGGGCAAGCGAGGATTTTGAGCACGGCACTTGCTAATCACAGCATCCCTGAGCGAACCACAAAAGCCACTTTGAGCCTGAGCGAGCGGTTGCATTGTGCTGACAAAAGGGGCGAGGGCAGCGCAGAGCCACTGCCTGCTCCTCTGGGGTTGTCGATGGGATGGTGGGGAAGGGAAGGGAAGGGAAAGGGAAAAGGGAAAAGGGAAAAGGGAAAAGGGAAAAGGGAAAAGGGAAAAGGGAAAAGGGAAGGTGCAGCTCAGGCTGGGAGCCCCCAGCTAGGTTTCCCACACCTGAGCCACGCCATAGCCCCGGGGCTATCCTGCAGGTTGGCAATGCTGCGCACCCTCCAAAATGAGGATTTCTTGGGAATTTTAGCCTGCAGGGAAGTAAAATAAATCCTCTGCATTAGATCAAAGCTGGGTATTTTGGAAATCAACTTCCTGCTGCCCTGGGGCTGCTGGCGGGGCATCAGGGAGTGACAGGGATGAGGACGTGTGCCTGGACCAGAGGTGGAAAAAACAGGAACTGCTTCTTCACTGAGAATTTAAAGTGAAATCAGTTTAAAGAACTGAGACAGGCCAAAGGGTCGCAGCGAGGCAGGGCTGCTGGCAGCTCGCGCAATTTCTCATCACCCAGCACCGGTTACAGGCAGAGGCTTCACTGACATCCATCTGTCCTTCTGCAGTTTTTTGGGTGAAAGGGAAGTGGATTTGGGCCAGAACTGGAGCTCTGATTGTCACCGCTTCAGGCAGACTCCCTGCCCCGCCACCTCCCCAAACAAGCACCAGGGTGCAACTGTGCAATGCCCACATGGAAGGAGCAGGGGAAGGAAAGCTCCATGCTGGGTTTTTTGCCCCAGGCGCGGCCCAGCACCTCCTGCACCCGCCGACTCTTCGCTGCTGCTCCCCGGGTGTTATCCTGAACGTTTTTGGCTGTCGTCATCAAGGGCTCAGCCGGGAGGAGGCCACTCGCCTCCGGCTTTGAGATTTGTGCTGAGCTGAGGCAACGCGAGCCAGGCTCGGCTCTGTCAGATTGCCCGGGAGATAGGGAAGCTGGAGGAGGAATCGCAACTCTTTTGTAACCCAGGGCACAGGAGCACGCGGGCGCCCCTTCGGCACGGGGCTTTGCCCCAAGGCATTGCCCCTGCTCCGCCTGCGGGCCAGCAGCACCCCGGGGCCCTTCAGCTTGGGGGATTTTATTTTAGTGCTTTAAATTTGCCATTTGGGACAAAATCCCAGAAGGAAGCCGGCTCCTGATGTGCGTGCGCAGCGGGGCGGGAGCGCTCCCGAGCCTTACGACGAGGTGGGACTTGTCCCTGGCTGCTGGTGCAATGGCTAAATATTTTTTCCCACCTGTGACAGCAGATCTCATAGCTATATTTTCAAAACTCGAGTTCACCGACCACAGTGACAGATTTTACGCTCTGGCATGTAGGAACGTCAGTAATCTCACTCCCGTGTGGAGTATTTGTTTTTCAATGTTATAAAACTCCCATTTGCGGTAAGGAGCTCCCCCGCTGCTACCGGGCTCTCCTCCTGCCTTGGAAACCGGGTGCCTGCTGCTGGAAACAGCAGCCCCCCGAGCCTGCCCTGGCCCGTCTGGAGAGGGGATGGATGCATTTAAACGAAAGTGCTGAGCCTCTGGCGACAGAGAGGTGCTCGCCACAGGGGAGCACGATTTCTGTTCGCAGGCTGGGACTTCTCAGCGATTTCTGGCAGAGCGCAGAGCGCGCGGTTCTCCTTCTGCCTCGCGTGCTGACCACAGCCTTAGGCAGCGAGAAGAAATGTAACTTTCACACGCCGCCGGGTCGCCCGCCCCGCATGACAAGGAATTCCCAAAGCATGACACTGAGTTAATGGCACGGCGCTGCAAAACCCCAATATCGCTTCTGTTACTTTCGTTATCACTCGCGAAATGAAGTGGCGCACGGCAGCGATGCGCAGTGATTCAGCACAGCCCTGCCAGCGCCCGCTGCTCAGCCTCCTGCCCCGTCCTCCAGGCAGGAGAGGGCATGGGGGGGCCCCAAACCCCCTGGTTTGGCTTCTCCCATGGGGCCTTTTTTTGCCCTTTTGTGACCTTAGGTTGTGGAAGCTGTTTGATGTGGTGTGCTGAAGTGAATTATTGCCGTGGCTTTCTGATATCTGTATTTGCTGATACATTTATTTTCTGATATATACCATGTCCAATCCATACATTTTCTGATACACACATTTTCTGATACATATACTTTGTGATACATCGATTATTAACTAGTGAAGGAATGCTGTGGACACCTCTCTGGATGCATTGTTCTGGTAGCCCTCACTTGTACCAGGCTGTCAGATTTTTATTTTTATTTTTATTTTATTTTATTTTATTTTATTTTATTTTTATTTTATTTTATTTTATTTTATTTTATTTTATTTTTATTTTTATAATTCCCCAGAGCAGGCCTGTTTTTGCCTGACCAGGGATCTTCAAATAAGGGGCAGAATTTTGTGTGCATGGAAGAAACGTGCACCAGCAGCGTCGGTGTGAGCCTCTCTCACCCACTCCTGCTTGGGGCTGTGCTCAGCCTCTTGGTGGAGGTTTTTTCCATCTGTTTGCAGGATGGTGGTGACTCAAAGTTCAGTCAACCTGCTTTTCACGTGTGGCTGGGCACTGGGGGAGCGATGCTCATAGCGGTTTCTTGCTGCTCTCAGCAAGGTCTCCAGGTCCGTAATGGCTTCGGGCACCTGGGCATTACCCTCCCAACCCACGAGGACGGACGAGGAGTCTGCAGGGTGGGTCCAGGCTCGTGTGGTCGCACCCAAACACCCTTTTGATGCCTTGCTTGGGGCATCAGCCGCACAAGGACCTGGGAGCAGGTTTTGCTGTTTGCCCCAGGATGCCAAGCTGCTGCTTTGGAAGCCCACTGAGAGCAGGGGGTGCTCGGGCTCGCCGTGGCTGTCTCTGTTTCCATGTCTCCTCACCAGTGCTTCTCCAGCCCCATGCCACTTTGCCGCTCCAGCCGCCCGCGAGCTTTCAGTGTTTTCACAGAATACTTTGCTTTCGTGTTTAAGAGGCTGGAGCGACTCCAAAGCAAACATTGCTAACCCAGAGATAAACAATCCGTGTTGTATAAAAGGCAGCAACCTTTTTCTTCCCCGAACTGCGGCGCTCAGCCCGGGTGAGCTGTGCTTTCCACCAGCAGCCCAGCAAAGCCTGAGAAGCAGCGGCCTCAGCGCAGTGCCAACTGCGGAGCGGCCCTCAGCCACATGCACATCCGTCCCTTGGAGCTACAAGCAAATATTTCCTCCACCAACCTCTCCACCCCATCAGTTTTTTTGTTAGCAAAGTCAACAGCTCAGGATTCCTTGATCCAAGACCCTCGGCCAGTGTCCCAAAATCTGTGCTCCTCTCAGGCCCTGTGGCTGTGCCAAAAAGCCCCTGTGACCTCCTGGGGCTGCACAGAAAGTTGTTTTCTTTCTGGGTGCCCAGAATAAAAGCACTATATTAACCAATGGTGCCCAAAGACTCACCATTTGTCCTTGTGTCATTGGCCAGGGGATGATTTGCAGATGAGAACGTGAGCATGGGAAGTTTGCTCGGCACGAGCTGGTTGCCTGCAGCTGTGCTTGCACACAGCGGCAGTGCCCCCTTCCAAGAGGCTGCGGTGACCCAGCGTGGTGGCCAAAATGGGGCTGAAGACATCACTGGTGGAGCCATGGACAGCTTGCCATGATAATTTTTTGCTAGCAGCATTGCTACCATGAAATTATAATAATAAACCGTAGAAATGGGCAATGAGCACTGTTCTCTCTGGCAGGAGTGGTGTGTAGCTTCCAACATACGAGGCAGCAGCAGAAGTGCTTAGGGTGGGCTACTTGGAAGGAGCTGGAGCAGGGCAGGGGCGTCCCACAGGGGGGAAATGGCTCTGCATGCTGGCCCCCTGCCCCTTGCCTGGCCCCTGCCTGTGAGGCTCTGCTGCAAAATGGAGAAGCCGGGGAGCCCTCGGCACAGCCCCACTCCCGGCACCGGCCCCAGCGCAGCACCGAGCTGCTCTATAATGGGATGTGGTTTGACCCCAAGTGGGAGGGTTTAGCCTTATATACCATTTATTTGCATACCCTTGTCTGAAATGAGTGTTTCAGGACAGTTTACTGGGGCTCGGTATCCCAAACACCCACCAGAACAAAACCTGCCGCCGGGCCGTTTTCAGACAGGGCGGCGAGGCGGTGTCTGGCTGCGTTATCGCCGCGCACATCTCGCTGGCTCAGATGCAGACGTGCCGTGCCCTCCAACGCAGAGGCGTTCACAGGGCTCTCGCCGCAGGGCCGCCCCCTCCCTGGCCCCCACACTTTGGGTGCAGCGCCGCGGGGTGCGCCGGTGTCGCCTGCATCCCAGCCAGCACCCAGAGCGTGCCAGGGGCAGCGGGAGCACGGCCGCAGGCGAGGATGCACACGGTGCCGAGCGCAGGGACACCGCTGTTCCTCCGCAAGGTTTTCAGCCGATTTTTTTTTTGTTTCCTAAAAGAGTTTTGTAAATTGTTTATCAGCCTGGTGATAGGTGCTCTGTATGCATAAATATCCATGTGTGTATTTTTATAGGTATTTACATGAAATGAGGACGTGCACGTGCCATCAGTGGAGCGCACGTAACGCTGGG